AAAAGTCACCATGGCGACGGAATTGCAGCAAACGTGTGAAAGGCGAAAGCGTTGCTGTTCTCATTTTATAATACCAAAATTAACTCACTCTAGGTAAGCATAGTAAAGAGAAATGTGCCATAATAGTGAGCAAATCACGTCCAATTATTAAAATTTAGAATGAATTCGACCGATGCGAGTCAAATTCAATCCTAAGTAGTTAAATTTGGATATTCTAAAAGATAACGGTATCTTGTTGGTTTTACCGACAGTTAACTTTGGTCAATAAAAGGTTAGGATATTTTGAAGTTACACGCCTTTCACACTCACAAACCTAGAGATTAGGCACAGAATTTGATTGAGAAGGGCTGGATTCAACTCAAATGAACCAAGGCGCATACAACCTTCTGATTTTATCTTATTTTACTAATTCAAGCTGACCTATCTACCAATGGTTTGGCATTTTTTCACATTAGTTGAGTCATTTTAAATGAGCAAATTTAATAGTTGTTTACATAACTATGAAGAAGCTGATGTGAGTTTGTGGGACACGTTATCGTTGTGTGCGTCATCGTATGCCTGCATGTCTGCTCGCCAGGATTGGGAGGTGCGGTCGTACAACTCTGTGTGCAGCGACCGTACAAACAGTGACCATTCATTAACCTGTTTATCCGCAGTATACGTCCTGAATAAACGTGCTCCGTGCTACACGTCTGCTTTCCTTTATAGCTGGGCTATAGTTTAGCTGGTTCTGGGAGTCTAGCTAGATGTAGGAGAATCTGCCATAGAGATTTCTGAGTTGGTCATGTTTTACTAAGGTAGCAATCCGCTACAAGTTCATTTAAATTAGGAATCAATTATTGCCTAACCTTCATTTCTTGATCTCTAAACTATGAGCAAGTAATCCGAAGTCAAAGAAGTTTAATGTATAGGATTTAGGAGTAATTTATATGTAATAATCTATCATTTCGGAACAAAATCAATACTCTTATAAAATATGAATAGTCTAAATCGACTCCAAAGAAGATAAACATAAGCAATGCTATACCCTTAATTAAGTCTTAATTTGTTTCTAACATCAAACGGCTTAATGAAATTCAAGTATTTTCGACTGGTGGAGGCGATGTATTTGTTTATATAAGTTATTCATAGATATAAAATTGCTGGAGATAATAAATGTTCTAATATACAAATCCATTTACTGAAACTCGTTACCCCAATTTACAAGATTTAAATGATTATCCAATTAGTAATAAGAAATTGAATGGAAATTAAATTGATAAGATTCACCGAAAAATAGCTCTAAAGAATGGATAGGGACAACCTTGCCTAGGTTGTTTGAAGCCTGATCCATTCTAAATTCAGGCCATTATGAAGTCATATGGCTCGAGAATACATCAATGAGTACAAGCCTACACCCACCCCCTGAAAATCATAACCTACTACAATTTTTAAACACTTGATTTGAAAGTAGATTGTAATAAAAGTTTCAAAAATTATTTCTCTTTGTTCGGCATTAGCACTATGTGTGTATGTGTTTATGCACATAAATGCATTGATATCAATTTGACCTTCATGATTGCTGAGAATTAAACTTCCATTCTGTTATTCTGTGGTAGCTTATATATTTACTGAGGTTTCCGTGTTTAAAACAATGATTTATATTTAGCAACATTTGTTAATGCTGAGTTAATCCGGATAAATCCAACCATCTCTCATTAATTACACGTTGTAATCGCTTGATCCACTTTAGGCAAAGTAGACTGAAGAAACCATGCAGAAGTTTTCATGATAGTTCATTCTCAATTAAACTAACTGTCAAGTAATGTCAAAGACTCATAAAAGAAGCATATACCTTCAATGGTATGAGCCTCTGAAGACCTCGTGGTTACCATCTGCTGATAGTCAACCGCAACCTCAGGCTTGGCCAAGTATTGAGCATTTAATGCCTCATTCTTCTCCGATTTAGGCTCTGGTGACTTCTTATTCTCCATCGTTTCTCTTACCACATCTGGCGGCCGTTTTTCTGTCTCCACTTGTCGAAGAATTACAGTAGGTGAGAGAGGAATCAAACGGGTTCCATCAATTGGCACTTGGAGGTGATGCTGATGGGATAACGACGATTGCTTATTCACAGCTGAAGGAGTCGAGATGGAGAAAGATGTCGGTGAAGTTCGTGGACTACCTCCTTCAAGAGATGGGTGCGGTGGGGGAGTTAGTGAAGGTTCAGGACTGTCTAGAAGGTCTTGAAGTAGATGGGAGGGAATGTCAGCAGGAGGTGATGTTGTGGTAGCATTTCGGAGATCTACGGGATGAGCCCCCGGTGGAAGCTGATCTGCTACAGCAGCCTCCGCGGTTGCCCGGAGGTTCTCGGAACTCAACTGGCCATTTCTAAAATTCAAGTCGAATTCAAATATTACCATTTATTGAAATTATTTTGAATTAAATTAGCTTTAGTGGAAACCTAGTGAGACCATTATATTCACCCTATCCCTTCAATTGCGTTTATGTCCAGAACATAAAGGATTACAATATCTACCTTTAGAATTCTCTGTGAAGTACAAAGGATTATTAATTACAAAATGGCAACTAACTTCTTTTGAAACATCAAACGTAAATATCACCCAGGTTCTTAGCCTATTTTTGCTTTCTCATGAACATCTTTGCCTTCTCGAAATGGAAATGGATAAGGAATACTTGCTTGATTATAGCCTATAAATATTAATGAATCCGTTTTTCGCAACATTTGTTCACTAGTGGGTGGAGCATAATTCTGTGAAAATAAATGAAAATAATATTGGTAGCCAATCAATAATCTAATTTAATGAGATAAGAATTGTCATTCCGTAATTCATTCCATTTTTTAAGAAAACCAATAACCATTATTAAAATTCAAGTTTTGTTTTAATTTTCAGAATACATCAGGGATTTCGTGTCGTCCAATTAAAGTAAAATTCTTCGCGTTTTTTTTCCAGTTCGTGACCAAGGTTGGTAAGTCCTTTTAACTCACAACTTGGTAAATTACGATATTGGATATACGATTTTGGAATTAGGTAAATCCAGACATGGCCTTCCCGAGCGATTTTACCTGTCAGCAATTAATAACAGTGAACTAAGGTGTCTAATTGAGGAATTTCAAATACCTTTTTAACCCGCTCATTTAATTTCTCTTAAGACAATACCCTAAATAGTTGAATTAATTGAATTGACAGGCTTTTATTCAAATTCTACTTATTGTCATTGTATTGTTTAAAGAAAAAGCACATTTAAGCGTTTTCTAGGGAGCACTACTCGAGCTATCTTCACACAGTCATTTGCATTTGGAGAAGGAAAACCGCAAAGCCGACCATTCTTCTCGCCATCAGATAATCCACTACGCTAAACAAATGATCACAAGGGGGTAAGAAATCGGGTATATATTAAATTTTTTGAATATTTGAGAATGTGTATATATTAGTTCTTAAAAGGTATGTCTTGAAGACATTACCGCCTATTTTAATAAAGAAGTTAATTACGTAAAAATGGAAAACATTGGAGGTGATTCGTTCTTCTAATTGCCGCGAAATTCACTGTTTTTTTAACCAATCAAAATCCCTAAACAATATGGATGTGTGTTCATAAAAGTGCATGCCATAACACAGAGAAAAAGGTCCTTAAGTAAAAAAACGTGATAAATCCGGAACTCAGGTTATTTAAGCCTCTTCGTAGTTGACTTCTTACCCCTCTACCCTCCTCAATAATTGAACCAAACTCAAGTGCAGACACTTGCCTATAATCGTTTTGATATTATTAATAGTAAAATACTTTGCCACAAGGCGAAACTTAATTTGAGAATTATTTGTGATCGAAGTTTCGGAGGGTGATATTATTTCAGGAAACAATATTAATACACCCAGGAAACCGATTCAGTGAGTGTGAGTTCGCTTATTAATCTCACTTCAAAGGGCGAACATGCGGATTTTATGATAAATTTATAAAACAAACAAGTAGCGTTTTAATGAAGCTCGAATTTACCTAATTGATCAAACTAGTTAGAATCGAATTTCCAGCGAATAATATATCTATTGCTGATAATTGTGGTGCGAGAACATTAATTTAATAAAACGGATTGTTATATATAGAATCCAAATAAATAATCGCATGACCAAACGTTTTAGGCAACTCAAAGCTCTTAATTTAAGGTCATTCTTCTATTTTCAGATCTGTATTATTTGCCAAAACATTAAAGGAACTGGTAATTCTCCTTTTAATGTTAACGGTGTAAAAGTGACCATAAACCAACAATGGAAGGGAGCGTTTCCCGTGGAGCGAACTCCAAGAGAAAGAGAGGGAGACTGTGTGAATAGAGGAAGAGTCATAATGGAGGATTAAATTTGATTTAAGTGACTGGAGGATATTGTTTTTTAGGTGCAATTAAGTCAGTGCGTGCGAGCATTAAAATTTACTTCGAAAAGGAAGTTGAGCTTCTAAGAAGCGGGAAGAACAATAAAGACAATGGTTTATCTCTGCAGAGAGTTGTGATAGGTTTTGAAAGGAAGATAGCTCTGCTTACTATAAATTTCCTTAATAAATCTCTGTTTAAGTATTTTTAATTCATCTCTCCTATTGTTCGTACCAACTATAAAAACAGTCTTTGATAGAAGTCATATCAGGAACTACTAATATCAGCAAAACCATTGAATAATAGTCATTGGGTATTTTAAGTAGATCTTTAAGGTTTACGAATTTCAATTTCATTTCTTAGAGTCTGTAGACTCGGAATTAGCTAGATTCAAAGTCGAAAACCCTCAATTTTTCTTGAGAAAATGCATATAAGACTTGGAGATAATTTAAGAAAATTTAGAAGCTTCCAAACTTGAGCTAACTGTATTCATACATTTCAGTAATAATTATGGCAACAAAAGACTGATTATGATAGGCGTGAACTATTTTTTATCTGCAAGCAGTCTTAAGTATTTTGTTTCCATCATATAAATAGTAAGGGCGAAATTGGGATAGGAGATATTTCTCCATTGCTTCAAATTATGTCACAAGTAACACAACAACAGAAATCATTACTGAAACACCAACTTACAAAACATTCATATCATACGCGTCCTCACTTTTCCGACGCACACAGGGAGAACTTGAACGACTATAAACGAAGCAAATTGAGCAAATATGAATTACTGAGTAGACAATATTCGAAAATGGAAAATATTCATTTTGAGATGTAAATGTCTTTACGCAGAAGAGCTTTAAACTAAATACAAATTGTTGAACTGGATTCCTTTCAGAGATTTTGTATTGTTACTTTGTTTAGAAGAAAATTCTCGTACGTCATTTTAAGAGCAGTGATTTCTCCAAAATACCCACTATGGAGAGTTACATTCCATGTTCTAACTGCTGGCTAATTAGGAGAATTTTAGTACAGAGTGCTCGTCACTAACTTACTGAACCACTTTAGCAAGGATTTAAATCACTACAAACGTACAAAGAATCTGATTTTCTAACAATTATTACCTCTGTGCAATTATGCTAAAACTCAATGGAGACTCGTATGAGTTACTGGTGTTAATTAAAATTATTGCAGGGAATCGCACCCACAACAACTCACGAGTTTGGCATGAATGAAGCCGTTCAAGTGTCCTCTCCAAGGAAGATCTTAATATAATGCAACTTTAACTTCCAAAAGGCTAGAATTTATCTAGATGAACTCTTTTACTTGCTAATAATAAATACGTTAACAAAAATAAATTTTTAAGAAAATAGTTAGAATAATTTAACAGCCTAACAAACAGAAAAATAATATTTTTAAACTGTGATTTGAAAAAAAACAGAAAATAAAAATAGTAAGGAGTTAGAAAAGGAAGTTTATATAATGGAGATGCTTAGTACTCAGCCCTTCCAGATTGACTACGGAACTAATTTGACAAATTATGAAACAATATTTTGTTCTGTATTTTTATTGTCGTTTCTTTAAATACCAACTTCATACCGCTGGAAGTGTTTTGAGAAATTTATTAATTCATATGCATAAATATTCGTTAAATACTCACCTTAAGGCAAGCGATGGTTTCTCAGCACTGGGACTTGACGCATCAAGGTGGAAACTAGCTCCAATTGGACTGAACCGTCGACTGTGGTCAAAGCTTAAATATGGGAGGGGGGGGGGGTTAATGAAAGTAAAAGAGGGAATAGGTTGCATAAGCATGGAGTTATTTCGTGATGTAGTGGAGAGGTGAAGTGGCTGAAATTGCTATCAGCAAACACTATAAAATACGCACCTAATTATTTTTGTATCAACCTCGTAGTCAGAATTGCAGGAGCACCACTGTCCAACTTGATCCTGAAAACTGGCAAAATAAATGAAAACATAGTTAATTACACTGGCCAATGAAAAATTTAAGAATTGAATATAAGATTTTTTTGAATTTTGCTACTGTCAGGTCAAGTAAATGCTGAGAAAACGTTTTGTCCTCAATAATCGGCAAAAGATAATGCAGGGGACAATTGAAGAAAAAGTTTAATATAATTGGATAACATTAATCATACCTGTGTTTCTTGAAAATATATAAATATTGATATACAATTGGTTTGGTGTTTAAGGCTGTTTATTTTCCAAGCCGATAAATACACATGTATATATAAATATATTCATGGTTTAAAAATGTGCATTAATGTGGTTGCTATCTACCTAGAGCAGCACCAGCCGTTTTGGTATGGTGAAATAAGATTGAAGGAACTACATAGGACCCTTATAGATCATTTTTCTAGTCAATATCATACGCGTTTTGAAGAAAAATGGGTTAACATTCCGATCATCAGTTGGTTTAGAGGAGCGAGTGACTTGGAAAATTATAGTAAGTGAGACTATTCAGATGATATCAAATAGTTAAATCATTTGTTTAAAATAATAAATGGCATAACCTGATATGAAGATAACTGAATTTTTGGAAATTATTACTTCTTAAATAAGCCGTGCCTTTTCGGAATTCTCTTCCCTAATAGAAATTCACATAATATAACACTGTGTAAACATGCAATAACGTGACTTTGAGGACTTCTGGATATTTTATACAGCTCTAAGTACGCTATACTAACGACAATAACTTAACAATGAAGTGAGCCCTTACTCGAAGACTTTATGGCTCACGTAGGTCGAGAAGGCGCTGCCAGATAGGGTTCGATTCTGTGTGTGACCCCTTCCACCATTACGTGAACTGCTGCGTTGATGGTTGGGGGATCCGCCGGTCCAGAGGTTTGTGAAGGAGGGAGGCGAGCTGTAGCCTTCATTCGACCGACGGGACCGTCTTGCAATGGGTATCTCCTGAATTGATCCACTTGCTCGCGGTTGCCAGCGATCACTCTGAGCACGGTAATCTTGTCTACTGTAAGGGAGAGGATAACATCGAGACAGTTGCGCAATCACCATGTAGAATACCTATGGTCAACAATTTTGCAACTATTTTACAAGTTCTCTAGTAGATGGTTGGTATTCAATCATTTATGGGGATTTTAAGCAAGTACTCATCTTTTTAATTGAAGTTGATCAAGCGTTTTGCTAAAATCGGTCATGATATGGCATTCTCGAAGTGTTCACAGAAAAGACTCCCTTTCAGCGCAAAAATAACCTCAAGAGGTACAACTTCACTTTTAAAAGAAAATGGTGAAAATTTGTTTTAGCGAATAATTTAATTATCATATAATTTTGATTTGCCAAAACTGTAAACAGAAATAGAAAATTGGACTGTCGCATGACAAAAAATGATGTAAAATTGGTTAAAAAATGACAACTATATAAAAGACAGACTTACTGGGGCAGTAAAATAAGCCTCTTAACACTATGGCTTGGACGTATGTAAGAACACAGTTGTCTGTTCATAGATCTTGAACTCTGAAGTAGGTCAAGACACAGAAAGTTATATTGCTTATTAATAACTAGAATTGAGATGAAATCTACCTCTCTTAGTGTCCTTATTTTAAGCAATAATATTTAGCAAATTTACTCCCATCCCATGCTGGTCTAATTGATGCTTCTTAACAATCAAGAATAAAGACTATTACCTTTCTCTGCTTGTTTCGCCAGGAGGTCACATCAAAGTTAATTCGTACTAACGAGCCTATTTACTAACATGCCAGCTAGACAAAGAATAAATAGGCGACAAATGATATTTGTTTTCAATCAAAATAAAGTTGTTTTGTTTCGTCTTCCAATGGACGCATTTAGTTACTTTCTGACTCGTTTAAAACAGCAAAGAAAAACAATTCTTTAATAAACAGGATAATCTTTGTAAGCAGTCCTTTGTAAAATCTATCATTATACGGTGTGTATTATGTAATGGGAATATGTCTCGTTTAAGTGCTTCCATCATTGGTCACAACTATTGGATTTGGTAATAAATTGCTCTAAATTTTTGGCAAAAGTTGAGTGAAAGATAGCACAAAATGACGGCAAGTGGGATGTTAAAAAATTCATCCTTAAACTCTACCGGTCAAAAGCCGCCACTGCGCACCGCAAACGAAAAAGGAAATGAGGAGAAAAAAGGTCAATTGGTCAAGAAGTGGACCTTACCCACCAGCAGAGCATTTTACTCTTGCGATATTAAAATGCAGGATTGTTTAGCATGAAAAATAGAGATTGTAATTAGAATTTACCCACTATAACTTAGGCAAACTGAGAACATTGAGCTCTTCTAGGTTAAAAAAGTAGTTTATCACATCTCTGTTTCTCTAAGGACATGTAAGATCATTTTGGTTTCCACCATTCAATTAAAAATGCACTGATTCGGCAAAGACTGATCATCAGAAGCAGGCGACTGATCAACAAGCAATGAATAATGTGGATAAGAAAACGCGAAATAATTCAAGTGGCAAAAAAGTTACTTTGAAGCTGGGAGTGAGAATCACTCAATTGGTAAACACAATTTGAATATTCGATATCGCATAATCGGCAAAAGGTAAGTTATATTTCTTCATTGAAAAAAATAAACCCTTATAGCCTTGATAAGGATTAAATTGCAGTGATTCATATTGTGAGGGGCAAAGTATTTAAAAACGATAATTTCTTAAATCACATTTCAGAACATCTTGGAGAGTTCACTAAAGTACATTTGTCAAAACAAATGAGGGCTGGGGAAGTCATTTATGAATTTATACATTAGAAAATTCTAACCAGAGTTATAAATAATAACTTAGCAATAAATATAAATATTTTATTGCATCAAATAAGGTAAACTTATTTGAATCTGACTTACGTATCATTACGCATCATTCTACGATTGTATATAGTGAATGCACGATCTGGCAGATATCGATTAGTTTCTGAATCGGTTGTTTGATAATCCGTTGACATCATAGAGTAGTAAAGATGGTGACTATTATTTTGCTTTGAGGGTGGATAGAAGTGACCGGCAGGACCTTGAAGAGTACAAGAACTATCCAATGGCCATTCATCAGTAGATTGATCATCTGTGTAGTAACGATTGTCGTTGATGTAGTTCAAATTATCGTAAAAGTGATCGGCAACCTCTCCGTGTCTGTCCCAACTGGAACAAAACTTAGGTAAGTTTTTCACTTTATATTGCATAGTCCCAATATTAAACGTACGCCGAGGTAGAATATATCTGAACAAGAAGCACAGTAACATTGTGTGTTGTGCAAATTAGAGTCCAGTACAGCAGTTAATGCCGTTGGATTATTTCTGGTCAACTCAGCCAAGATAAGGGAATGTGGTGGGTGAATCCTGATTACCTTATCTCCATCCAGATCAAGTGCTGTAAGCACTTCTCAGTAGATTTGGGCTAATCTCCTTTAAAATTACAAACTGATTAAGTCACTCGCTATTTATTCATGCAAGTGCAGTTTACGTGCATGCACTCTTATTTTTTCGTTAATCTCCTGAGTGAATTCAAGTCGATGCGATTCAGAGCTAATCGAACAGATGAAAAATTTTGATTTCGTTCAAACATTTGCCCTGTTAACCTCAATTATCTCAAATATCTCTTGTGCGTTTATGGCAGCGTCTGAAAATAGTCATTGTTCCTATAGGCAAAGGTGTGGCTAATTTCGGTGTCAAAATTTATTTAAATTTAGAATTTACTCAGTAGGCAAAGGAGGAATAAATTAAAAAGTCATGAAGTGGAAGAAATTTTTCCCAAGTTGCTCATAACAACCACTCATTTTTCGCCCCACATATAAAAAGTATGTCATCTCATGAGGTTCGTTTCGCGCACATGACACGCTTGACATGATGGGGACATTTCGCCAATATTGAGTACAAAATGGGCCAAAAAACGCTCATAAATCATGGTCATAGTTACTTTTACAGCTGAAAATTGGTGCTGGCTTGGGATTTGAAACTAGATAACTGTTACGAGAAAAACGGCAACTGAGTGCCATACCATGTAGATATTTTCCTTGTTCACACGCTATCCCACGATCAAAATTTCTACGAGTGTATAGGCTATGTCTTGGGCAAAAACAGTGACAGCTCGATAGTAGAGTATCTATCTTATAGGCCTGTAGGCTACTTATGGTGAGTTTGAATTCCCAAGCCAAATCGAAACACCATTTTACGCCGTTCATCATGATTGGTGAGTAACATCAGAGAGCCTCACTGGTGATAAGCACGATTTCCTCCACCCATAGTTATTGACTGTACTAAGCCAGTGTGGTTACCCATTCCGTCCACTAGGTGGAATTGTGTTCTTTTAATGATCCTTTATTCAAATCAAGAAGGCATATCAGTGAGATGACTAATGGAAGTTGAAGACTTTAGAAAAATTCTGCATTATTTGGTAATACTAACCTTTCTGGATAATTTTGAAAAAAAAGAATATCTTGTTAATCTTCAGTAAGTGTTGCAACTCTTTTAGCAAATTTAAACAATTAATCAAAAGTTAACATAGTATTCAATAGAAGCACGGTGCAAACCATTGAGAAATTATAACCAAGAAAACATTTTCATCATTTCTCAAGCTCACGTGATTACCTTCTTAATATTTTAGTGCTAATTAATTAATATTTATAATAAACCAGAGTTAATACTTTTTTTCAAAAAATTTATGTTAGCCTCACCTTGACCACCTTTTTGCTGAGTCCAAGGTTCGTGTGGCTGGGGGCATCCCCGTATCCGACCTAGAAAAACAAATATATTTTATTTAACTTCACATTATTTAAAGTGAAGTACTTAGAAAGAAAATAAAAATAACTATATTAATCGGAGTACTATTTGTGGAAAATAATTATCTGCCATCAAACGACAACACTTAGTTTAAATCAGGATAATTATAATTGTAATGGTAATAGTAAAAATAAAAAAAAACAAGGGGTGTGCGATAGACTTACCTCCACGTGGTGCATCCTGGCCAATGAATAATCATACAGCAATAAAGTCTATTTTCGGCATTTGACTTTAAACTACCAATACCCGACTTTATATAATATTCGACCATTTTTGCAGTACTCACCTTACCTTTTCCTCTACCTTTGTGTCTGTGTTCTACTTACATTTATGAATCACTATTCTGTTTCACCTCTCCACTTTTTGTGACTTTGATGTCCCCTCATCTGTGTAGCCCGAAGTCAACTAAAGGGCTGATGATGGTTAACAAAAAGCCCGCCATTAGATATAGATAAATAAATTTTTAATCAGGCACTTATTATTGGCTCCTGTGCAATTCAAAATTTTCTCTCATGGCTCTGCATTGTCCATATAAAGAAAGAAAAAAGTGTTATCAGTCAACTTAAACTGGCATTAATTCGCTCAGATCATTGCAATTCCATTCGTAGTCACTCAGTGATGACGTATGCTCATCATTCTTCCTTTTTCTCTTCCTACTCCTTCATACAAAGTATAATCCAAACTTGACTGTTCGCGATAGATATAAACGATCACACTGACTATATTTAATCAATTCCTGAGCATTACCATGGCAGGAATAATGATATGATGTATTATTTCCTTAAGTTTTAAGAGGCACTAAACAAACACATATTTATGTGTAAATAAAACAACTATGTACTTGATTGGGGAAGTTATGGGGACGTAAACAATAGAATTATTTTTTTATTTTATTTTCATTTACAATACATAATTTTGCCAAGGGATACCTTGGTGAACTATATTAATATTATCATTCAATAATTAGTTTAAATTTGGATGTGCAACAATGAACCTGACCAACTTCGAATTGCAAATAATTCCATAAAGAGCTCAATGTTAGACTTGTTAATAAGAGCTAATTGTTTTGAAAAATGCATTCAGTAATGATCTGTTCTCACTGAAACATCAAGTGTTTCATTCACTATTATTTATTTAATAAATAAATACTCCCTTTTTGCTAGGCTTGTTCAAAAATAAAATTTAAGTAATCGAATGTCTGCTTAGGTATTACTATTATTTACTATTCATAGGCTTTGAGAGAGAAATGTCTCACATTGCCAGATCATTAGCTGCAATTAAATCCCCGGCCAATAATCACCGAATAGCATGAATGAACATTGACATGTGACGAAGTTGAACATTCGAATTTCTAATCCTATACTATCCGTTAAATATATAAAATGAGGGCTGTTTGAACAAAAACAATTAAGTTAGCCTCAAAACCCAACTTTTCTAAACGCCTTAAGTTATCGTTCTTTGTATTTACTTCTCAAAAAAAATTAAGCCTTTTTGTAATGTCATGGGTTATGATGCTAGAGCTCTATTGATTTGAGTAGCGATGACAAGGTTGTCAAAGGCAGAAATCACGCGGGCTAAAAATTATGTCTGTCGTCTAGTTAAACTATAACCGGTCAATCACTTTTTGCGCTATTCAGAGAAATAAAGACGATTAAAGTGTTGGCCATCTACACAAAGTAGGGATTTATTCTTTCTTTTTAAGTCTATTCACTATCACAAATCCTTACTTAACCATCGTCCAACGTTTTCATATTGCCATAGTTACAATATATTTGAAATATTCTCTTACTAAGTAGCTCTAATTCCTTCTCTTGATTCAGCAAACGTCACTTACCAGCATCCATAATCTCCCATAGGAAGTTGGAGGTGATTAGAGGGTAATTGATATGGTCTCTTTTCCTGCCTATCATAAGACATCGGCTGATACCACTCGGGTTCATATTCCTCGTCATAGGCGGCACCATCATACCAATTATAACCATCCACAATGGGTTGTCGCCGTTCCTGCCAACAGCAGAATGTATCGCATGGACCATCTTGGTAAAAAACATCGGGGTCAGAGAACATTCGTGAGTGGAGAGGGGAGACATTCGAAGGTGGTTGACGCAGAATTTGGTATGATCCACCGAAATTTCTATTGGCTGGACTATTGCGTTGCCACCTCAGTGGAACTAGCAAAGACAAAGAAGTAAAAATAGGCTGTTTTTTTCGAATTATTCCATAATTACATCGAAATTAGAAGTAAAGTAAGTGACAAAAAATATTTTTGACGTTATTTAAAATTTCTTATTACTTCAATTTATCTTTTTATTTTAGAATGCTTCTTGTAATTTTCGCATATTTGAAAAAAAATTGGTGTCAACTAACAAGAATGAAATTTTCATTCAAGGAAAATGCATAAGATTTTCTCTACGAATCGAATGTGCAATAAATATAGATTTTAATAACAGATTAAGGATGGAAATGCTAAAAGTAGGTGTTACAATAGTTATTTTAGAAAAGCTGTTCTTAAATAAGAAACTTCCGAGTCAAAATTCATGTACCTCTCAATGAGTTAAATCTTGTCAGTTAAAATATGTTAATAAAAGCCGAACAGGCTTAAAATATTCTGGAATCTCGCATACTAATCGTTTTGACGTTTTTACTGCAACAGTTTGCCTCATGTATGGTAATAAGACGGTAAAAATGCCCATTAAAGTATAAGGTATTTCTGTTGGCGTCTATTTTAACGATTTACAGATAAGAAATTTTATTTTCAATAAACACAATGGGAGTGTTTGTATTTACTACTAGATTATGTCTTTTACCAATTAATAGCATTTATTTTTCATTAAGAGGCAAAGGAAAATGACTTATTTCATTTTTTGTGTCTAACTTTTGACCTAAGGTCAATAACAATAGTTAAGTCAATTACTTATACACTTAATACTCTGGATAAACAGAATAGATTCTCATTGGTTTAAATAGCTTTATTTCACAAATGAAATAAAGCTATATATATATATATATATATATATTCAATAACAGCAGACATTATCTATTACCGGCACTATCATGTATAATTATATCCCAGACAAGTCAACAAATTGCCATATATTCACTAGAATGGGCCTGAACAGAAATTAAGGGTTGGCTAGTGAATCAAACCAAGGGATAAAACGAATTTTTGTGCTTCTAGAGTTGCGAATAATGTTGAAATTTTCGCTTTTACCTTAATGAGGCGCAGAACACAAAATTATGTCCCAATTCTTTAACTTCAATATGTAATCATTTAGTCTTAAACTGCTCAACGTTGTCAGTTAGTACCACTCCTCCATTTACCTTTTATTCCAACATGCATTTTAAAAACGTTTTTTTGTTGCCAGATGGTTAATAAAACTCAAGAAGTGTCACCAAAAATGATTAGGATCAATTACATCCACTTGAATTTTTTAATTAAATGTCTTACATTCATTTTCGATTGTTATTCGGTTTTCCCATTCCATTGCTTCACAATAACTCTGCAAGATATTTGTTACACCCATTTTTTCCTGTCTGGTCAATGACTTCTAAAAATATGCTTTCAATTTAACCTCTGCTTACAAAACCACTTCTCAACGGTTTTGTGGAGCAATTAATGACTCGAAATTTAAAAGCGAATTGTGATTTATAAAAATGAACAAAATTAGCTAATTTGAATCCTAATTCCTTCACCTTTTCGTTGTTATAGGAATTAATGGAAGTTGGTATGTGAGTTCGGGTGGAATTTTGAAACAGGAGCCAAAATGAAATAGGTCAACTTTGGTCAGCAAATATCGAATAAAAAAGATTATTAACTATTCCATAAAACTACATGGAGGTAAAACACAGTTAGAAATTATTTATAAGGAAAAATACACCACTAAAAGTTAGAGTCTGTGATCGATGCAATTTGAGGCTAATAGCATTGGTCAATCTGATCAAAACTAGGTAAACGAAAAGACGTATCTCACGTTAACGAATCAAGGACAATATTTTGGCAAATTGGAACCCAGTACCAACTTACAGAAGAAACTGATGCCATATGAACACAATGCCACATTCATTTCTCATATGAAAAATTGTAAAGCCACAGATAAAGAAGGCGCTTTCAACGCTCATCTTGGATATAGAGTGACACCAAGGAGTCCCTCTGATGCAAGGCTGAAATTTCACCACCCTCTAAATTAAATAGAGTTATTCAGTAGGATTGAATATAACAGTCTCTGGGTGTGTGCAGGTGGGAATCGAACCTCACGACCTCTAATATGTCAGACGTATACGATGGTCATTGTGTTACCGCCCTAAACGTCCTGCAATTACTTCATGAAAAGCTCTCAGGGATCATCGAAATTTCCAAAAAAAGATATTTTAGGTCACTAAAATTATATTTTTTACTGGCAAGATAAATTTCCTCTAGAGCGTTACGTTGAGTGGTAAGGGATTTAAATTACATGATAACATTGCTTCGTTTAAATAGAATATTGTACAGCTGCTCGACGATGGCTAAAATAAATTGAAAATTAAATAAAGACAATTCAAATCACCCTAAACCAGATTTATTAAAATATCTGGGTTCCGCATCATAAAAAAATTTGCCTTCCATAGAGAAAGAAATTAGAAAATGAGCTATTTAAAATATGAGCTTTTCAGAAAATAAGAGCCAATGCTTATCCCAAGGAAGAGTGTAATATTTTTCTGTAAGCAATAATATAACAAGGGGATTGAAATAGATTATTAAAAATATTCTAAACCAATATGGGGCAAATGTTTGCACTAACTCCATGAAACATTCGAACTCAAAATGGCACGAAATTGATGAAATAAGACGCATGAAAGAATTGGAATGCAGCGCAACCGCTTTGAAACACGGTATTGAGTCGCAGGCGCGATTGAGGCGGGATGAAGAAAGAAAACGTCTCAAATAGAAACTATCACGCAAACAAGACGTAAATATAATCACTAGTCAGACTTAAATGCTATGTTGTAGGGTTATTTGGCTCGACTCCCAAAATATTTTAACTGCACTAAAACACTAGTCAGTAAATAAATAATAACATTGTAAGATGGGGTATGCGATAGACTTACCTCCAAGTGGTGCAGTTGACTTCTTACTTCAAACTACCATGACCCCACTGTATGCCATATTCTACCACTTCCACATTACTCATCCTACCTTTTCTCTGCCTTTGTGTCTACCTCTTTTACAACTGTAAATCCCACTTCTGTTCCCCACCCCTCGACTTTCTGTTACTTTGATGTTACTTCCTCCTGTGAAGCCCAAAGTCAGCTAAAGAGCTAATGATAACTATCAAAACTCCTGTCATTTGAAACAATAAATAAATATTGTAAGAATATTACAAAAGTATCGTTCGAAACCCACCACGGAAATGATGGACATGCGCTTCTTACT